AGAAAGGAATGAATGCGAGGTTAGGTGCCTAGCCTAATCCCACCATGTTGTAGCCTTGCATTTGATTTTGGGTACCCACTGGAATTAATTTTAGGTAACAATCTTTGAGACCACTCAAAAGAAAAGATTAACTCAGAATGAAAATGTTCATTTTTATAATCAAGATGCTGAGCTAAAATAGGAATCAAATGAGACTCAAAAACCCGAATTTGAATTCAGACTCCACCATTTCCTAGCCAAATCACCACGGCCATTCTGAATCCCACTTTACTCATTCATGAAACAGGGATTCTACAAGGTTCTCTAAGGTCATATGGAAGAATGAATAAGATGACATGTATGAAAGCACCCAACGGATTCAGCACCTGCTGTTGCTCAAAGGATATTTTTAAGAATCTGTGAATTATTTTCTTATTTATCCTTTACCAAAGCAATGACTTGTCTACTCACCATGCGGGAAAGGAAAAATTCATCAAGAGTATTCCAGATGTGATAAATGAAACGTGTCTGTTAGAATGAAAAGGGGAACATGAACATTCCATTTCTAGGATGATTATTCATTCAACAACTATGTCTTGCATACCTGCTATGTGCAAGGGACTGAGTTAGCCGTTGGGACAGTGCAGTGACAAGGCAGAACCCGTCCCTGACCTCATGCAGTTAATATTCTAGAGGGAGAGATGTTCATCACACAGTCATACACAGAACATAGTGAGTGCTGGGCTGGAAGTTATTTCCTTGTGCCTCCAGAACCCTCTGAATGCTCCCCTCTCAACCCCAAACCTACTTCTTCCCCACCCCCTGCTCCAAGCCTATCCCTGTTTTCTCCCCCTCCACACCCTGGCCCCAGGAGGCCCCCACCTGTTGGCTGCATTGACCAACTCCTCTGCCTTTGCATCAGGTGGAGTTGGCCCAAAGGAGATCTGAGGACAAGAGGAGTGTGAGGGGCCTTCATCACCCCTGCCCCCTCCCTGCTAGGTGCCCAGGGGGTGGCTACATCCTCAGCTGAAGGGGTCAGATCCTGCCAGGCTGCTGTTTCCCTTCAGCACCCTGTCCTGTTTCCAGTGACCTCTCCTGATTCTTGCCCCTTCAGGCCTAGGGATGTTAACAGTGCCCAGCTCTCCCAGCCCCTGCATACTCGCCACTCCTTGTTGCTTTCCTTAACCCTCCATACATTTGTAAATATCTGCTTTATGAAAATCTCCTCAATTACCCAGTTATAATGTGCCATCTATTCCTGCAAAAACCCTTATTGATAGCATACTCAAACCATGTTAGCTGTTATTACCAACTCTAATGATTAATAGTAATAAAGGAAGAGTCTGTGAGGCAGAGGAAGTATGCCAATGAAATTGGCAAAACTCAGGACCAACAGTGATAACACCCTTTATTTGCACAAGGTTCTATTGTTTAGAAGCCACTTTCATTTTCCCATTTGGTTCAGCGTCTACCCTGATGCTTTGTGCATCTTGAAGCCTTTAATACATGCTTGCCAAACAGACACACCTGCGGGTAGGAAGCTTTGGGGCTATTATTCTCATTTCAAAAAGCTTGGAGTGAGCTGAGGAAAAATAGTTTTCATTTATAGTAATTTGGAGCCAGGTACTCTGATATCACTGACCTTCCATGATCAGATCATATTTTGGGACATTTTGTAGACTGTTTGATTGTCAGCTCTTGTAACACAGAAGGAGATCTATTAGGTTTGCATCTCGTTTAAAAGAAGGAAGAACTAGATCTATGGATGATACTGACTGGCTTTGAATCTGCCAAAATGTTAGCTGCTGGAAGAATGTTAGAAGCAGCACATTAATGGCCATCCCTTGAAATGCACCTCCTGACTAGTCATGAAATTCACACAGAAGAATCAATTTGTTGCCCAAACATGGCAGAGACTGCAGACATCCAGTGACACACAGGGGTTCTGCTTTCTTTTCTTTCTTTCTTTTCTTTCTTTCTTTCTTT